CAAAATAATGTTTCCGAGATACAAATAACGAAATGTTATAAGAAAGAAACGCGAAAGTAGCAAATGTGTTGTATCACAACTTCGAGTATAAGAAATGAAACAAGATTTTAATAAAACAAAAATATTTTCTCTTGCATACTCGTATACGTACTGGTTTTTAAAAAGGGCGACTATAAAATTAAAATATCATAAAACCCTTTAATGATAGGAAATTTGAATTGTATTTGATGTAGCGGCCATTAATAATATTAATATGGCATCACGAAGCGTGAGCCATAAAGTTGAACAAACGAGAGAGGCGGGATACTTTTTACCACTCGAGGTCCCATAAAAACGCAAGCCCTAAATTAGCTCGATTCTTTGTCACCCCTTTTGAACGACCCTAAAATTTCTACTACAACCGTCTTTGTCTAACGATAACCACTACATTCCCATCAGTTAAACTGCATCAAGGAAAAACAACGTAAAACCACCCGAGATGAAACGAGATAGAATAAAATATATGCACTAGTAGAGACGACAGAGAGAGCGCTATATGTAGTAGTACGCTCGTACGGTTCGTGTTAGGAGCGAGCGAGAGGAGGGTAACCCTCTTGCGCGAGCGAGAAAGGCGACAAAATTAACCATCAGAGGGGAGAGGAACAGAGCTTCTTCAGGCGGGGTGGTTAGTCCGCAGTCGACCGCGCTAGAGTTCGCGTCGACTCTCGTCAATCTCAAAGCGAACGATTGAAGTTGTGAAAACATTTATCTAGTGCGACATCGTATTACTTACAATTTGTGTTACTTTATGTTAATGTATTACTTTATTAACATAATTCTGTTAACGATTTAAGTTATCTTCTTCGAAACAACTCAATTTTTCAATAATGTTTTTCGTGCCGAAAGCTTTTCAGTAAGATTAGCGAAGTTTAATATTTTCAGTTTGTTTTAGTTATTATGATAACTATTCTTGCGGGATTCGTGTCCCGGTTATGATAAAGCAAAAACATTGACCGGGACTTGACTTTACTTAGGAATACCAAAGAAAATGTGTGCCAAAATGTTATATAGTTCGCTGTTGCCTATTGTAATGTTATGGATTGGAGTGCTCGCCGAAGAGGAAGTTTCATCTCCTTTGCGGGTAGCGCAATGTAGAGCGACCTGTTTGCAAAAGGTAAGATTATATTTCATTGTAGATTACTATCTAGTTTTACTTTTAATCACACGCTGTTTTTCTTTTGTGTAGTAGGCAAATCCTATATTATTTCAATTTTATTTTGCTCATTTACGTAACATTAATCAATGATTTTACTGGTTCAATTAATATTCTACGTATAGATGTATACTCCGTGCTATATTAATTCCATTCGTTTGTCCCTCAATCAATCACACCGAGGCTGCCCGTTAGGCCGTCAGCGGCCGCTACACGTACAGTCTGAACATTAAATTCGTCACGAACCTAATGAAGTATTCCGTAATATTAAAAGATGACTTAACATAAAAGACGGTAACATTTCTTTATAACTCGTAACCCTGTCAAAAGTTAATTTTAACAAATACTAATGTTAACTGTTTATTCGAGTGTTAATGAAAGAAGTCAACTTAAATTTAAATTAGGATTATTATAATTATTATAGAAACCAATTACAACATCTAAACTGTCATTGTGATAGATCCCGTAATGCTTAACAGGCATATTTAGGAAAAAGATCGGAACATAACAAAAGGAACAAAATGAATCAATTAAATTAGATATCCACTTTTAAAAGCGCAAAAATCTTCTAAAACAATATAATCAGTTTATGACACGGTCTGCAATACATAATTCACACGTTCAAAATTACTGTATCGCCATTGCGCTAAAATTTAATTTGGTAGAGCAAGCATTAGTTTGAAGTAGTTCATAGTAACAATTATAAGAATAACATAATAATTTTTTTAAATTTTATCAAACGTAGAAAATTTTGATGTATTGATTTTACAACATATACGACATATAGATAAGCATTGGTAAATATTTGTAAAAGCCTCATTGAGGTTACAACTTGAATTTATTTCATTATCCTCAACATTTATTGGTCGGCGACGCTAACGAACCGCAATCACCGCGGTCCAGTAGTTACACCTTTAGATCAAATATTTACTCTCTACCCACAAACATAAAAACACTCTCTCACTCTCTTCACAACAGGATAGGTAGAGATAACGAATTCCTATACGTCCTATACGTTACGTTTCTGACTCACATCCAATTTATGACGTAATATTTTTTCCTATTTCAGTGTTGTCTTTCAAGTATTAGCCTAACTTAATTGATAAAGACAAAATAGATGTATCAGGATTAATCATAAATAATTCCATAAAAATAACTAAAAACTTTTTTTAATTCCTTTATATGACAGTTTTATCGTATGCGTTTATGTAGACCGCGTAGATTCGCTAAGCATGTTCTCTTTACATTTTTTTATTATCATATATGCACACGAACGTCACCTATCCATCTTATATCATTGCGTTTCTTCGACCATTGTTGAAACAAGCTGTGGATATAAAAGCAACAAAACACAACGTTATAATCATACATGAACAGTAAGTCTTTTTAAGTCATAGAAAGAATTATAAGGAATATGGGTTCACTTTAAGTAATTTTCAGTAATGGTCAAGGTATATCTGCTTATCGTAATCATTAGTGTATTCAATAAAGCGCATGTTACACGATTTTAAGCATTTTCACAGGTCCTTGCCAAGATAATCCGATACAATATAACGCTCAATATTTACGGACAGAATTTATCTAAACAGGTTATGTTATTTATTTGAACCATTCGAAACAGGTTGCCGCTGTTATCGCTATCGGGACTATGCGTCCATAAATGTAATTTGTATCGACTATCCCCTTTAAATCGAAATAAACCTATTTGTTTCAACTCTGCACAGCCATTAAGCAAGGATGTAATAAAATTTTATTGTCGGTCTCATGTTTTTTCCAACATTTGCATTTCAATTTTGTACACCCTTTATTGGAAATCAAAATTGCTATGTTATACAAAGCCAACGCGGCTTATGAAAGATAAATATTCAAATCAACATACAAACATATTTTTATCACATCTTACTTCAACCAGATGGGGTATTTAAAGGGCCTTATAATTCAAGCTAATTTGAAAGCAATATTTCCCGTCTTATTTAATTGGATTCTTTGACTTCTGATTAGAAGTCAAAACCCAATCACTCGATTGTACGTGACTATATACCCGATCTGTCAGGTAGAGGTATCTTTATACAAAGCTAATCGGCCGTAGAATTGTTTCGGAGGTTTCATTGTTGGGTATTTTTTCATTAATTTCATGTTACCCATATCATGCATTAGTTAAACATTTCAAAAATTGACATCTGTTGATAATCCGAGCCGTTCGCTATAATCACGCGTCGTCGGATTTTTTGTGCAATCCTTCGCATTTAGTGGAATCTTTTTTTGTTCAGTCTACCTGCGACTAAGGGCTCTGACAATGCGCTGTTCAATGCTCTTTTTTTTCTCCGCTCGCTTAGGGAAGGATGTGCGTGACGTTTGTAAGGACGGAAGGATAGACAGCCTTGAATTCTTTGTCCGGATTATTAGGATACCATTAGATAATTTACGATCACACAAAGAAAACACTGTACACAGCTCTTTATGATGTATGTCAGCTTCCGTTGTAAGAAGATTAGAGACCAAAAGTTAATGTATTTGTCACAAAAAATACAAATTACGGTTAAGCTACTAACCGACGTCAAAAAATTTGATGACGCTACGTATTTAAATGGGTCATAAATATATTAAAACTTTGAAAATTGTTGTTTAAATATATTATTGATAAAAAAACATGAATCTCTATGGATAAAAACCTTCCTACAAAAAACCTATTTTGTAGGCTCGACGAGTCTACAAAAACTCTGCTACTTTTTAAACAGTGATGCTAACACTGGCCAGAAAGAACTCATTTAAGGAGTCATACAAAAGATTTTATTTAAAAAGAAAAAAGTAGACGGGCGCATTGTAACGCCTTATGCTGTCGCCAGAAACTATTTCCTCTATTGTATCTCATTGCAACATGGTCCTTTTTAAACATCGACCCATGTTTTTCTATTTCTTCTTGAACTTTTTTGTTTTTTGGTTAAAAGCGTGCCTCCCTCGATGTCGACGCGGACTTTGGAGACATGTGATGAATTTTAAAAAGTGTCTGCAGTAAATGCCAAGATATGCTTATGACTATGTAGGACCGTGAACCATGTTCATAACTTTACTTATTCTTCATTTTTAAGGACACTTTTTTTTTTTTTTGGGACATACAATATCCAGAAAAAAAAGTCATCAAACCTATACCATCGAGATTTATTAATTAATTTAATGAGTGTTACTTTGTAAAGAGAGCATGAATAACAGCCGCCTCACTATTGCAAAAAATGAACCATTCCCATGATCGCGAAATAAAATCTCAATTAGAAATTTAGGAACGCCTTCCTGCCACGATCCCTTTTCGAGTCGGTCAGGTTTCGATCCAGCTTTATTATTTTATAGTTGAACCTAACAGGTACGGTAGAAATTCTGATGGAAACAAAAGTGAGAAAAAAAATTAACAGTCAAGGTCTCGGCTGCACGTCCTCGGGCCACGGAGCGTTTAGAAAAAATAAACGAGAAAGTCCCAGCCGAAATGACCTGCGTTTTTGTCCATGATTTGTTTTCGTTTTTGTTACGTTTGAGTTCATTTGGAAGTAGCCATGTCCGTTGCTTACTGAATTAACTTAAATTGCCTCCAGTGTTTTTTTGTTCGTTTTTAAGTTTTTGTGTTTTGCTTTTGTGATTTGCATCTTTAGTCTATTCATTAAAGTACGAAGAGCTATTTGTTTTCTTTACGTTTTTTATTATAACATCGGTTCTCACTTACCTTTATAGTAGTTTTGTAATTTTACAAATATAAAAAGAATCATTTGCCGAGCATTTTGCAATTTATAGCTATCTTTGTTCTCCTTAAAATAACTTTTGCAAATGTAAACAAAAGGAATTATTTTGTTGTTCGTTCAAAACTCAATGTAACTTAAAAACCTGTCAAATGTTTTATTAACTTATCGTTATTACTTGTTTTAATAGTGCATTACCCGTAAGGTGAGAAAAAGGCGAACACGAGAAAGCGAACGAGAGCAGGAAGAGATCGCAGGAGCTCAGCCCGTGAAGGGTGGCTTATCCAGCAAGGCAGTCGTAATAGAGCCGTAGAAGAGCGGGCGATTAATGATTCATGACCCTTCGCAGCGCAGTGTCATCAATATTATTCTGTTTGTAGCTCGCGCGTTGGCCCACCCTCGCCCGCGCCCCTTTCATACATAAATAAGCGCGACACGTCGTCTTCTCTGATTACATCGCGCCGATGTAGTGAGAAATAGTGTGCTCGGATGCTGAGCCCGTCTTTTGTTCAATATATTCTCCGGAGACACCGAATGAATAGTTAACATAGTGTGCTCAACGCGCATGTTTACGGTTTCGGATTTCTCTTAAAGATCCTGGATAAGGAAAGGTGACGGAATTTATTTGCTTAGCGGTAATAAGCCGATGTTACAATCGAGTTGAGCTTCAACTTAGACTATACTTTTTATAAATTGATACGTTTCATTTTCGAGCGTTCGTTTTTTCTTTTGAATTCTATCCGTTATCGCTTGATGTTATCTTGGTAGAATATAATAACATCTTCGGAGTCAGTTATAAGAAATCATTTATGATCTATAAAAAAAAATCATGGGTGGGCCAACAAATATAGACACAAGGTTGTAAATAATGAAGTAAACATAGCTTTTGTTATCAACAAAGCTACCAAAATTTATAAGGACCACCAGTATTGTAAACTTTTACCTCTATTAGTAGTCCAGACAAAGATATCGAGATTGAATCTGGAATTTTTGCTCCGGTGGCAAACTATACAACAACCATTCGGCTTCATTTTCAATTTTTAAAGTCGAGGTTGTTCACAGACATATCAAAATTCATTGTAGTGGTCCCGCCAAGGTCAACGTGTGAATAAATTTAAAAAATAAAACCAATTCAACACATAGTTACATAAAATCTGAGTAAAGAATACTGAATATAATTTGAGCTAAACGAAGTGCAAAATTATATTCGAAAAATATATAAAACTAGCTATCGCC